CCCCACACCCACACCCATACCCCACACTCACACCCACACCCACACCCTTTTAATACGGCACATATGTTGCTTTTACGATTAACCTTGAAGTATTGACACGTGTCCAGGTCAACGATGGAAAAAAGAACATGTTTTTTTTTTCTTCCTACCATTTCATTCATGTTGTGTAATATCCTGGTTTTTACGAAGTTGTTTTAATGGCGACCTCATGAAACTATAAAAAAGGTGAATGAGAAAGAAAAAACTTCAGTCATATTGAAGAAAACATAGTGTCTCGTTAAACAAAATGATCCAAATTTATCTTATATTCCTTTTTTTAATCAAATGGCTTCTTCAGTAATATTTCCTTCTGTTTCTCTTCCTACTTCTTCCACACCGAATCACGTGATCATGTGTTTAGACCAAAATATTGGTTTAATAAAATCGAGCAATCAATTGAAAAGTGCCGTTGGAGGACAAACCGATCCACATAATGCTACTCCTACGTCACCAAATGAACGTGATATTGGTAATTTAATTAGATTTCAAGAACTGTTGGATACGAACTTCTTTGGTATTCCAGAAAACTTAAAAGCATTTTATGAAATTGATCCATGTTTAGAATGTATTGGAGAGAATTTAGCGAATAGAAAACAAATATTTTTCATCACTTCTGGTACGATGGGAGAAAAGATTCTTCCAAAAATCGCCGAATTATATCCGCCATTACAACAAATTTATCTCTTCTGTGCAGTGGCGTATCCAGGATTTTTAGATCAATGGGCAAACTTCTCTTATGCTAGAAAAAAATGATGGGCGAAATGGGCAAGATTTTTATTGATGGGCCAAAAGTTTTTTGACCAATCAAGTACTGAAACGGAAAAAAAATGAAATGAGGTTCTTCTAATGAAATATGCATAAAAATCAGATCTTAAGCACGCTCCACCAAAAGAATTCAATTTTCGTTAAAAACATGAAAGTTGAGATAAGTGTGTGAGAAGTTAGCTGGAAGTCTGCCCTTTTAAAAGAGATACAGCTTTTTATTTCGTACATCGTTTTTAGCGAAATTTTTGATGTTTTTCGTCACCAATTACCTGAAAAATAAGCTGGTTTTTGATGAAATTGAAAAATCGTTTTCGTTTTTTCTCAGTTCATGATTTGTCAAATGCTCAAAACCAAACTCCTCCGCTCAGAGTAACTATACAGAATGGTCCGAAAGTAACGAAGCAGTCTTTAATTGCGAATAACTTTTGATAGAAACAAGCTAGAGAGCTGCGGTTTTCGTCTTTTAAAAGAGAAAAAAATTGCATCAAATCTGGAATACTAGATTTTTATGACAATATGCACTCGGAGTCTCCAGACAATTTTTATAATAGAAATTATTGTGTAATGTGAAAGTTTTAAAATTTTAATTTTCAGTAGTGCATCAGAATCGTTAACTACGGTTGAATAATCTATGTAGATTCAACGCCAAAAAGATTTAGCAAATTATTAGGTCTTAACATTTTACTACGCGTTCTCGGCAGATTCTTGGCAAAAAGCCAAGTTTTTCCTGATATTTTGACGAAAAACCCACCTTCTAGATCTATTTGAAAAGTCTAAGTTTTTCAAAAGGAGCTTGTCCGGAAACCATGAGAAATTTTGTTATAAAAATCCGGTATTTAAGATTCGATACAGTTTTTTTCTCTTTTAAACGATGAAAATCGCAGTTCTCTAGCTGGTTCATATCAAAAGTTATTCGCAATCAAAAACTGCTCCATTATTTTTGAACCACCTTGTATACATTTAATTTCTTTTTGAAACAGCATGTCAAAATGTGCGGCACCAAAGAATCCTTCTTTATAGTTAAGGTTTTTTCTGTTATATGCACAATCACTTTTGTAAATTGAACTCCCTTTTTTAGAGAGTTTTTTGACTCATCAAAATTGTAATTCCTTCTCTCCTTTCAAGAAATAAAAATTCAAAAAAAAGTCTTTGCTGCCCTGCATCTTGACATGCTCTTTCCGTAAAAAAAATTAAATATATATACAGACCCGAGGCCGAGAAATTTAGAATGCCGAATCAGCTATTTCTGAACCTTGTTTCGTGAATATCTCTGCCAAACGTCATGGTATAGAACTGAAAATTTTACCATAGCTTCTCCATTACAGCTAAAACAGATTTTCCAAATGTCATGGCACTAGAATGTTCCTGGCCTGAGATCGATTTTTAAGAATGGAGAGACCTTAACAATGAGTCATGTGTGTTTAGTCTATTTTGAATGTATCTATTTATAAGATTTATAT